GGCGTATTCTCTTAGCTACTTCCTGCTGAAAAGGGACGCTGTGGGTTTCAGGGTGAAGATCTTCTCTCACTACTCTAAAGGGCCCCTTTGGCAAGTTTCCACATTATTATATAATCTTCTATGAGTGTTCTGGGGACAATTCAACTCATAATATATCTACACCCTATCCTATGATGATGTCACCTTCTCAGATAAGTCACAAGAATTCAGCTAACAGTCTTCAGTGGGAGCATTCCACCCGGTCCACGGCATGGTCTTTCTCTTCTTATCATCAACTCCCCATCCCTCTTACCCCTTCTCTGCTCTCACATCTTCTCCTGGGGTCTCGAAAAATATTAGTGCTTAGAAGACAAGAATAACATGGAAACGATGGCATTCTCATAAAAAGGGATTTGACAGAAACATCTAGATATCAGTTTCTATACAGTGTTAGCCTACTGAAAACTCGAAGTTCACTTCCCACCATCGTATGTCCTTTTAAACAGAAATTTAAAAAGACTAGGGGAAGGGAAGAAAAAAATTAGAAAAAGACAGGAAAGTAAAACAATGAGAAAGTTTTTTTAAATCTACCAAAGCAATCATTGTTAATATTCAGAATGCAGATTCACTATTTTCTGAGCTTTGCCTTAAAAGTGAGTCACTTCTTCACCAAGCAAGTCTTACCTGAAGTCGGAATCCAACAAGGTCAGTGAGCCTCTCCACGGGCCATCTCTCTTCTCACTGGATAGTAAGGACCATGGACCGAGTCTTGTGCGCAGAAACCTGATGTGTCCTCAGCAATTGTGGCCTCAGTTCCAGACACCGCAGTGAGTGAAGGTCATAGGGAAGCCAGACTCAACTTCTCTTGGCTTCCAGGGCACACAAAAGTCATGGTTACCTGGATTGCAGTGTGTCAAATGTGCAATAGCGTCATGAAAAGGTTTAAATACTGTGATGGTCACCAGAATGCGTCCCAGAGACACAAAGTGAGCACGTGTTCAGGAGGATGGCACTGACGGACTTGCTCAATGCAGGGTGGCCACAAACTTTCCATCATCAAAAACACACAAGGAGGAACTGTATAAAGCGGATGTGCCTCTAGTGTGAGGAGAGAGGAAGACAAGGTTCTTTCCTCCAGAACCTTCCATCTCGTGAAGATGGCTGACACACGTGCCCTTCAGTGCAGTCAGGTCTGCAGCAGGAGGGAAGCTGCAGGCGTGCCATCTCTTCTGTTCCTCAGCGGTGTCCTGTAAACAAGTCAACAGAGGCTTTGTTTGAAAGCCCCAGGAATTTGAAGTTTCACAAGTAGGAAAGTAAGTGTTGAGGAAAGCGGCTCCTGGCCCCCTAGAGCGGATGCTGACTCAGGGGAAAGCCCATCAGACACGGGGAGCTGCCCTCTAGGGCTTCCAGGGCCCTAATCTTTATCACAGCACCCTGCCTAGTCTGTCTTTGAAGGAGTGGCTGGTGGAAGTGAACTGACAACCTTTCAGTTAGCAGTGCAAAGCTTAACCCTCCCTGCCACAGGGCTCTGGAGGAAGAGGAAGGGAGAGACATGCAGTTGAGGCAAGAGAGGGTGAGTGGCCTAGCTGTATGTTGGGGTGAGCAGGACTGAAGAGTTTCTGGTGGAGGGCACTATGGAGGGAGAGATCTGAGGTCCCTGGGACCAGTCAAGGAGTTGAGGCTCCTCAGGGGCTACTACAGGCCCCAAGTGTTTTGTTGGCTTCTCCCTGCAGGACGTGCAGCACGTAGGCATGGACTACATGGAGCGGAAGCTGGACTTCACCCTCAGCTCCAGGTTCAGTGGCCTCCCCCTCCTGGTTGACCAGCTGAAGAGTGATGGCGTGAGGTTTATTCCCGTTCTGGTGGGTGTCTGCACAGGCTGTATTCTCCTTTCTGTTCCCTTGTTCTGAATTTACATGAGGACCATGTTGAGTAAAACTGGGTGGACCCTATAGCAGACATCCTTGTGCATTTCTGTGACTTCTTATGATCTGTGTACCCACTGCTGTCACGTCAGTTCTGACCCAGAGTGACCTTCACTGGGTTCTCTCAGTGGTCAGTCTTCGTGAGAGGAGACTGCTCATCTTTCTCCCTCAGAAGGGTCGGTGGATTTGAACTGCTGACTTCTCGAGTAACAGTTCAGTATGTGTATGTCACATGCCATGCTAGACTTTTGTGAATATATATAACTACTTAAAAAGAAAATAAAATATTTCTTTTTAAAAAAGAGGAAAAGTTTGGGGAGCTCTGGTGGCCTAGTGGCAAGAAGCTGCACTGCAATCCCAGAGGTGCTTGGTTCGAATCCACCAGATGCTCTGCCGGGGAAGGAGGGATAATCTCCTCCAGTACCAGTCAGATCCGATTTGACGGTACACACACAAAAATAATAAAATAAATATTTAAAAATGATAATAATAAAAAAGAGGAAAAGTAAAAAAAAAATATTAAAAGCTATCTTTGACTGGAAAGCTGTACTGCTGCCCTATAGGAGAAAGAGGGATAGTTTTCTCCTGTGCAATTAACAACCTCTGAAATCCCACCGTGGGTCAGCTATGGGCTGATTCGGACTCATTTTTCCTCAGTCTTCATCACAACAACACAACAACAACGTATTTCACTGATGAGCTCTGTAATATTTCATTTTTATCCTGCTGAAACATGTAATATTTCATTTTTATAATCAAGTGTTGCTGGAATATACAATGTTATTATCCTTCTGTTGAAAGGGTTAAAAGTAGGCTGACATACTGAATATTGAAAAGAAAATGTTCAGATGGGCTTCAGAGGGAAAAGCAAGACTCAGGGACAGTTCCCCTTGATCCAGCTTCCTATTGGGTTAAGGTCCAAGGATCGGTTGATTATCCTCTCTTGGAACCTTTCTGCCTGGATAAACTAAACATAGACTAGTCATCGGCAGATGGCCGTACCTTTCAGCTTACAAGGAAAGAATGATTTCCTGACTTCCATCCATTCCTTCTTTCATTCAAATATTTATCTAACTCTAGCTATTTGGAAATCATTGCTCTCGTGATCTGTACACCCATCCGCCTGACATGTACGTATATTTGTTGATGGTGTTATGTGCTGCTGAGTCACCTGAGACACATACTGACCCTGTGCACAATAGCTCTGAACCCTGCTCTATCTTGAGCCAACTTCAATTGTCTTCAACACACACCTTCTCCCATTACCCCAGTTACTGAGTCAATTCATCTCATCTAGGATCTTCCTCTCTTGCGCTGTCCCTTCACCTTTCCAAGCGTGATGTCCCTCTCCAAAGACTGGCCCCTCCTGGCAACATGCCTAAAGTATGTTGGATGGAGCTTCAAAACCCATGCCTCCAAGGAGTAGCCTGGTTTCATCCTCTCCAGGACAAAACTGTTTGTTCTCTTAGTAGTAGCCCATGATATGTTCAATACTCTTCTCCAGCACCACAGCTCAAAGGCAGGAAGCTGCACCGCAATCCTGATGGCACGGGATTTGAGGCACCAGCTGCGCCATGGGAGAAGGATGGACAATCTCCTCCTGTGTGATTTAGAGCCTCTGAAAACCCATCAAAGGGTCAGCTATGGGTTGGTTCTGACTCCATGGTAAAT